TATGTCTTAAATAAACCTTGAGAAATCTAAGCACATGTTTCTACATAGTACCTTGGAAATGTTTTTTATCAACAACGGTTACAGTAAATGGAAATGTGAAATCATTTTTATTACATAACAACATTTGATAATCGCATACATCTGAGATGAATATAATTGTTTAGATTAGGAGTTTTATCATGTATATATATATATATATATATATATATATATATATATATATATCGAGAGAGAGAGAGAGAATGATCACAGCTTTTCAACGAATGATAGACATGTTTACAATAAATTATTCTTGGTTTTTCTGTGCCTTTATAAAACATTATGAATTATTACCAATTCAGCTTACCCTGGGGAACGATAAGTAGTCATGGTTAATAATATCTATAAGCTTATAGGAGGAATCTAGGCGTCAACGTGATTGACGAACCAAATTGTTTATTATGAACATGTATATATATATATATATATATATATATATATATATATATATATAATTTAGCAATTACCCCGAGGTTTATTTACTCCATTTCAGACCGTGATTTACCTTTGAAGGTAGGTAACACAGGCCCACTATAAATGTAAATCAGTCTGAAGCACTTTTTAGTTGAGATTATAATGTTACAATCATTAGGTAATTAACTTCGACTTCCATAACCGAATACCGTATCACAGTAACTTTATTATTATCACAGTTGAAAAATTGAGAAATCAGTACTGATATTACCTTCACCTTATTGTTCTAAATCATATTTTATTAAATTATTTCAATCGAAATATACGATGAAAGTAATTTTTAAAGCAATTACTCATTTTTTTTCTATTAGAAACATTAATCAAATAATTCTAAACTAAGAAATGTAACGAACCATTACATGATAAAGCATCAAACCTGAATTCATTCTATTCTAGTAATAAAATCAACTTAACATTTATTCAGATGACTTAGTCATATTCAGTTGAAATGTATACAATTCATCTTTTATATGCAAGGAAAGAAAAACGAATACTTGAAAAGTTTCAATGAAAATCATTCTTAGTTTTATTAGTATTCTAATTAGATCAACATGTATTAGTAGACAATATTTTTTTCAGTTAGATCTTAATCAAGTTTTATTCTAAAATATATGGATATTTATATAGACATGTGAAAATATGTAACTAACCAAAGTAATTTATAAGTTAATTATTACAATAAAATTGGTTGGACAAAAAATTTATTACGTTTTTTTTTTTTAATTTTAAAAAAATAATTAAATTCTACTTTATTATTTACTTCTTTTAACCGATTTATTTGCTTTTCAAGTCAATAAAATTGCAAGATAAACAATCAAACTGATAAAATCAAGTAAATGAAATAGTTTTATGTGAATTCTGTTTGTCTGTTTATTTGTTTAGTAAATTACATCATAGTTATATTTTGTTTTAAAAATTGACCAAGAATAAAGGTAAGTGAATTCAAATGTAATCTGTCAACCATAATCCCATTAATATTCTTTGTAAAGTTATGCATTATTTAATAATTATATTACGAAGGTTCACAGATTATATTGAACATATATATCAAATTACACTGTCATTGTATAGCTTCATCATTATTTGAATACCTTACAGTAATATGATATTGATTTATTAGAATGAGATATGAAATTATAGTGTAATTATCTTATGATGTCATATATTTCATTTTGGAATATTCCAATGAAAATCTTCAGTAAATCAAAGAAAAATCATATGAGTAGTAAAATTAGTTTTGCATTCTTATTTAACATGATACACTTTATACAAAATGTGTATAAATAAAGAAAACCATCCTTGAAGTTCAAGTTAGACACTAACACCGTTGGGTGCCGGCTCAGTGGTAAAATGGTTATGCGCTCGCGCGCGGGACTGATAGGTCCTGGGTTCGTGGATGCGCACTGCTGAGGAGTCCCATACTAGGACGAAACGGCCGTCCAATGTTTCCAGGTTTTCCATGGAGGTCTAACTTCAATTGACTGATGATTTCAACTATTGAAATTACCCAAAATCTCCACAAAACCCCTTTTGATAAAATCATTCTTATTAAATCTTTATCAGTTTATACAATTATGAATTGAAATTAACGATTGAATTGATTAGTCAAAAGTTCTTCTATTAGTGTATGTTGATATAACATGTTTCTCAAATTGTTTTTTGTGCTCAAAACTAGTGATCAATTAATTGTCGTATGTGACTGGAACGTTGTATCAATCAGTCTAACTAAAAGTATTTAGAACAGCATAATATAAGTGAACAATATTGTTTTTGATTAGATCCTCATCAGGCTTTACTCTAATATACAGCAATATTTATATGTATATGCGAAATTATTAAACCAATCAAGGCATTTTATGATTCAAAGATAACAATAGAATAGATTACATAAATAAACATAATAAGTGAAACGTACAAATTGGTAGTGTGATGATAGGTGAACTTGTTGTGATAACAATAATAAAGGCTTGGATCAGTGTTAGATAATGGGATATACTTCAATGATTAGAAAAATAAAGACACTAAAATAACATCCATAAAATTTATAAGATTTCGTAATAAGAAGTGTTCAGATAATTGGATTGTGAAACGTGTATTTCAGAGAAAAAACAAAATGGTAGGAAGGGTTGCAGGATGATAAACGAATAGAGAATATAAAAAATAATAATAAATAAAATCATTTATTAAGATCAAGGGAGAGATAAGGGTGTTACAAATTTATTATGAACAAAAAGACTTGAATTGTTGGCTCGAATTCCTATAGTTTCTGCTATGTGTATAAGACGAGATCGAACACCATAAAGAAAACTAGTAGGAATACCATAAATAACTTTAAATGACTTATTTCTGTGTACTAAATGACAGCTATCGATCACATGTGATAGACAGAGCTGAGTAATAACTTAACTGTACCTTTTCCTAACCACGAAGAAAGGTGTTCATTAACTTTTTGGATCAGTTGTCTGGAAGTGCACCCAATATAGTTTTCTACACAGCAGCAGCTGAATTCGTAGATACACACAGAAGTGGTATAACTATGTAATCCATTTCACTGCTATCATTGACTCATAAAATGCCTTGATTTGCTTATTCATTTCGTATATACATATAAATATTACTGGTAAATTAAAGTAAAACCTGATAAGAGTTCAATCGAAAACAATATTTTTCAGTGATATGTATGTTATTCTATATGGGAATTTCTTTTTTTACAAATTTTAAAAGTATTTGGTTTATTATAGAAATGTTATAGCTGTGACCGCCGATTAGATAGCAGTAAATTATCGATCGGATCAAGGACGCGTACATCACGTGTATGCAGTATAGATTCCTGATTGGTCCTGCTTTCCGCCTAGACCAGCCAGTTATGTCCAGAACATCAATCTCAGCCGCTGCAATATAAATCATTTATTTCAAGCATACGGGGTTTATATATCAATCAAGCAGACCACAATGTACCATAAAATAGAAAATAACATTTGTACAAAATTTGGCCAAATGTGTCTGTGAATGTGGGAGGCAGTGACTAATAAATAGGGCATAATTCAAGAATAGTAAAACGTATGATAATAGTTGATAGGTCAAAATAAAGCTTATAATAAGAGGAATATGAATATGAATAGTTTAGTTATTTGACAATTATTTGATAAAACTATACGTTTAGTATTGGTCCATACATGGATCCCAAAAATTACCATTCATTATGCTTATCGGAAAATAACAAGAAATAATTTAATTGGTAAAGATTAAATCAAAAATCAATCATTAATAATTTATACACATTACCTGTTTTTGTTAATTGGTAAAGATTATAACAAATGAACTCAATAATATTTCATTAAAATACTTATATAATTTAAACCATTATGAAAATCAATACCCATAAAATGGATAACTTCTTTATTTTTATTTACACGTATTTTAACTTTCGCCTTTTCTCTTTCTTTTCTTTTTCTTTTTTATCCAATGATTAATTTTATTTTAATTCAAGTTAAAAATTCATTTACATAATAAATATTGACCAAAACACAATACAGAAAGATGTACATCATAAAATTGTGACAATTATATATCATTAAGTTGTCTATGTTAATTAAAGATGAAAAATTACTTTAATGAAATTTCAAGAAAAAAAAGAAAAAGAAAATAAAACAAAATATGAGATGACGCAACAAAAAACGTATTCTTCTCTATTTATATATTTTTTTTGCTGTCGTTTGATTTTCTATGAAATAGTATAGACGAATATAAATAGATAAATTGACAAAGTTCAATGTTGGTTTATTTATGTTTTTCTCTTCCATTTTTATTATAGAAATACAATATTATATTAAAGATAAAGAATAAGAAAGTTACATCAAAGTGAAATAATTTCTTCTTTTTTCTGTACTTGACAATTTGTAATTTTATAAAATGAACCAAACCATTGTTTTATATTGTTCAAAAAAAGAGAAAAAGAGAAAAGAAAAAAAGGAATCATACTCTTGAGGTCATTAACACAATAGTTTCTTTTGTGTACTGAACATTAAAAAGCATTCCACTTTTATACCGATTATCATTAGTAATTTACAGTAAATATTGAAAAAACAGTAATCTTCGTTACACATACTACTGTATTGAACAAGAACAGGTGGGGACAACCGAATTATTTGACATGCAATTATAGAGCATCTTAATAAAGTCTGTGAACTATATAGTAAATAAATAATTTTCAAAATATCAAGTCATCGTCTCAAAATTCACTGTTCCTTGACAAATATCAGTCCATTGTCTCAGATTTCATTGTTTATGCATTTTCATACCAATCACGTTCCGTTTCCGTTCTTTCCTTATCGATCCTCTACTGAAATACATTCTATACCTGACCACCTTTATATACTACATGTGTGGATATAAGTAGCCACACCACACTACTATTACTCTTACTCTTAATAATAAAAATACCGAAATCAATTATTCCTTATTGTTTAAGTCAATTCTGAAATAGTTTAATTCGTTGTAAAACTTTCATGTAATTTCATATTAGATGAAATAAAAATTGGTAAAATATTTGTATGATTTTTATTAAATTTCATAATAATTTGTTGATGCTGATGATAGTTACAATTACATAATATATTTGAATTTTCATATAAATTTGCTTGATTAAAATAATCATAATGATCTATTAATGATTTCTCAGGTATTAACAAATGAAATTGATAATTTTCATCATGACAATTAGTTTGATAACTTTGATTTAATAATTTACAATCATTTGATTGATTATAAGAAGTAATTGATTGATTACAATTAGAGAATGACTTGTTCATTGGATATATTGTACAAGAATTTACTGATGTTTGATTCGGTATACTCCAACATAAACTTTGATTTGAATTTTTATAATTTTCTTTGCAAACTATCAATGTTTTTGTTTCATTTTGTTTGATTTTCTGATTAGATTGTGATTTTAATTTTTGTAAGCGTTTACATTGTCGAAAATGTTTAAAGAATTTATTGATCACTGAAATAGGTAACCAAAAACTACAAAAAACAATTTGCATTCCAATTAATGTAAAAAAAGCTAATGTTGCTGGTAAAATAAGAAAACGATATTCCTTCCAGGTTGTTTGCTCTGTACTAGTAAACTCATGATTTATATGTGAAGTCGAAGAGATATTAGAGACAAATTTTGTAATTTTCCGTTTAATATGAAAATAGGATGATTTATTTGAGGTAGTAGCTATTGAGGTAAAATAAAATGGTTTATCAATAAATTTAAAAAACACTGGGCATATTTAACAACATTCGTAATAATCGTTAAGCGTTTGGCTTTGGTCAATATCTACTGATGTACACAGCTCTTTGAAATAATATCTCAATAACATTATGTAACTACTAAGTGATTGATACTTTAAAAACATAACTTAGAATGCCAGTTCTGATGACATTTATTGACTAAATTGATTAAAATGATCATGAATTAAGTTTTTTTACTTTTTCTTGATATTTCAACCCACTTTTCTGTTAGGTTTTCATTTGTAAACTACTCAATTTTGCATAATATATAGTATTAACTTGATTGAGAATACGATATGAAAAATACAGTACCTCCATGTTCCTTAACTCATTTATATACTTTTTTTCAGATTTATTGAATGAAACATTGAGGTGAAGATCATATAATTCAAAAACCCAGAACTCATTCTTATTATTTACATGACAATTCATCTCTTTCAGTGAAACATCATATTTATCTATATGTGACTGGACAAAGGTTCATAATTTAGGCCATTCAAATTTGTTTGAAATCATAAAAATACATCAATATATCAAATATATCAATGAAGTCACATTATAGGTTAATTGTTTCTACAGCACGTTAGCTAATTAAGTTTCTATAGCATGTGAAACGATGGAAAACCAAAATTTATGGAAAATTTTGTCATTACTAAGGTATAAACTAATTTGTGTTTGGTGGAATGCTCTTAATAAATTTTTGAATTTATTTACGACTTAACGTGATAAATCATGTTGCAAAAAACACTGTTTTTACATCTACATACCAATTCTGTGTAATGAGGCAAATTATAATGAATGACTTACATTTTTCATAATGATCTGTCAAGTTAGACTTTTTGATATATGATGCGGAACCATTGGAAACGTTATCTGTGCTTGTGGTCCTATGTGTTGACGCCAGTTTAACACTTAGTCGGAAGTTACTGTTTTGACAAATAACCGATTGAGCTATAAATAAAATACACATTATAAAAGAATCAAACAAATAAAATTAATAATGAAAAATTTAATAACGATAACCTTGATTAGTTTAAGTTGAGCAAGCTCTATATTAGCTTTTATATGTTATATGAAAACATATTACTGTATACCTCTATATGTTGATACAATGACAGTATTTTTTAACAAAAACAGTCTGAATAACTAGAAAAAGTATTCTAGTATTGATTAATCAAAAAATCTGAAGAAAACAAATTTCATTATTTTAATTTAAACTTTCAATTATGCAATGATATTTAATAACTTACCTACAAAATAAATAGGTAATTCATGATGAAAAACTGGAAGTGATGAAATTTCATGAAATCTACTAATTTTAAGTATAAATTCCGTTGCATAATTATCACCGAAACAATCTAAAAGTTTAATTACTTTAATTGGTAAAGTTTGATTGCATTTTATTGTTACTCGTGAATCATTTGTCTATGATTAAAGAAAAGATTATTAAAAAGAAAACAAACAATAAATATAGATTTTAGATTATAAATGTTGTAAATAGCCTATTTATATAATGCGCAATATAAGTTTACAAAACTGTTATTTCATACAATTGAAGTTATATCAGTCTAGTTCCCTTCAGTATATATACCGTTTCCTAACTCCCTTTTTACTTGGAATACTATAGGAAACTATCAGAAGTTTGACTATATAGTTATCTTGTGGTTTTACGTCTTGGTATCGCTACATAGTACCGGGATAAATGTATAAGTATATATGTAGAAACTTGAAAATAAACATGGTGGTAAAATTTTGTTTGTTAAGCAAATTATATTATGACCTCAAGCAAGTAATTAAAACGTGAATCCTCCCATTTTTTTATATTATGAACTAAAGCAACATTTTTAAGTAATATCGTGTATCTAGTAGATTATGTTGTGTAAATTATGTTGATCATATAAGTTACCTTTTAATATCTTAGGCTTATCAACTAAAAAAACTGTTAAATATTAGAAAGTTGTCAATTGGTTGAGATTAGTTGAATGGATCATTAGAATACTAGGTTCATATGATACATTCTTCTGTCATGTTGACGAAGACATAATTAACAATTTGATTATGATCACACATTTGTTTATTAATTAAATGAACAAAATATTTTAAAAGAATTCTAGCCAAAATTTTGTTTTATTGTCTTGGGTTGAGATCATGAACCGATTGATGTTAAAAAATCATTGAAAGCCTGGAAGCATTGAACGGCCGTTTCGTTAGATTCTGAGACTTCTTAGCGGTGCTCATCTACCATCCTGCTCTCAGGGATCGAACCCAGGAACTTTGTTCTCGCATACGAGCAATTAACCTCTAGGTCACTTAGCCAGTATCCAACGGTGTTAATGTTCAACCTTAACCAATCCGCATAATTATATGATCATCTTCCATTGTACTGAGGTAGATATCTGTCTCTACCTAACATGGATTAGCTCCACTAGTCATGACTTCTCACCAGCACTCCGAGAATTCCTTAACGAAGTCAGTCGTTAGTGAGCACATGACAATTATCAGTATAGGGTTGTGGACATTATTAAGTTTTTGATCGAGATCATGAATCGATTAATAATAAAGAACCATTAAAAAGTTGGAAGCACTGAACGGCCGTTTTGTTCAATCGTGGGACTCCTCAGCAGTACGCATCCACGATCTCGCTTGCAGGATTCGATCCCATGACTTAATAATCTCCAAAACCTTATACTGATAATGTTTTACTGTTGTCACAAAATCAGTGATTTTCGTTTAATCATATATTTTATGTAGAGATTGTAGAAAATTAACTCACTTAAGTAGTCATTATTTTAACACAATAAATTTTGTTTTCAAATAAAAAAACATGGTGTTTTTCGTGATAAACTTTATTTTATTGTCATAATCAGGGTTAGCAGGAAATGACACTAAAATAAAATTAGGCTAAGTATTTTACTGTATGATATTATTATCAATGATATTAAGATTCTAGTGTTTTTACATAACTGAATAATTAAAGATAATAATAATAAGTGACTAACAAGAATTGTAACTTTAAAAAGACAGTTTCTCAAAAACTTATCGCACAGTCAAATAAAAGGTCAATAGAAACGTGTTATATATCGGATAGTATTTTGTTATACTCTTGTAAATCTTCGCTGGTATCACTATAAATACACTAATGATAGATTCGAATTAGATCATGCGAATGATTTTTTTGACATTATCAGATATATATATATATATATATATATATATATATATATATATATCAATGAATATATATATATAGCTTTGTATAAATGTTGATCATACCCAATAAAGTGATTGGGAAAATGTTCGATTTGGTGGACAGATAAAAATCAAATTATCACCTTCATTGACGTTGATTTCATTTTGACCTTCTTTAAATCTGAAAATAATTGACAAATATCTGATAAATCATCTAATGGAAAGTGATAACAATTAATCCTACTTGATCAAACTTATCCAAATATAAAATCCATTTTTGACTTATTTAGGTTTTGTTTCAAAATAAATCATCAGAACATTTGTCAAAGTGCCTGATCAACTAAATAGGTTTTCCAATTGCGAGATGGATTGATTTAAATTTTAACTTCTTTTTCTCAGTTGACATGATTCTTAATTCGTTTAATCAGCAAATTACATTAGATTAATATACAAATATCACTTACGCCATACAATATTGTTATAGAAGAGGTTAACAGCTGGAGTAAACATTATCTTATTAAGAATTGAAATAAACTATTTACGTTATAAACAAGTGTTAACAATTAACAAAGAGTCTTAACCTGTGTAGACTAATCGACTTGTTACCAATTTATCAAAAACAACATTCGGTTAATGAAATTTTTGTGTAGTAAACTTAATGTTTACGAATAAAAAGTGGATTGTTTTATTTAAAATTGAAGGTAATTGCGATAGTATATTGTACACCATAGATTTCACAAGCAATTCAATATTTTCTTACCAAGTTAATTAATACATTTACTTACGAATGATATTTTGTAAAGTAATTATAACGTTTATGTTTATCTTTCATTTTGAAAAAATATTTTAGCTAGTTAGTTAGCGTGTGTATGATAAGGAAATTTAATTAATGTAGCACATTTTCCACTGTTTTTCTTTTTTTTTTGAAGAGTAAACAATACGACTGTATGTAGGTTGAGATATCCAAATCAGACTATAAGTAATTTTATATGATACACGTAAGAATTGATAACCTATTTTATTTTAATTCATAGATTTAGCTAACATGAAATAATCGTTGATGAATAAGAAACTGAGACAGATTTTTTCATAACGAATACTGATTTCTGCATTGAAGTTTGATGACATAAACTGATCTGTCATAAAATCAAAACATCTTTTTCATTAGTCGAAAATTCTTTATAAATTATGTACAAATGGCGTTTATATTCTATTTGTAATCTGTTTGTTTCAAGCATTAATTATTTTTGAAAGGATTTAGTTTGTTCATCTATTCATCTGTGGCAAAAATATAGAAAATGTCAATTTATTATGAATTGGATTACGTTAGTAATATATAATTTCACTATTTTATTGCATGTACTTAGTAGGACTGAAGACTTTTTAAACAGAAGTTGTCTGTTTTAACCAACATTTCAGAAAGCCATAATAATCACCCAAATACTTCGTATATCTTAGATGTGATTGTAAGTATAAAATGCTAAACCACAAAATATAGAAAATAGTAAATAAAATTACTAGTATGGAACTACTCAGCAGTGCGCATCCACGATCTCGCCCGCCGCGAAATTCTAACCCAGGACCTATCAGTCTTGCGCGTGAGTGCTTAATCGCTAGACCACTGAGTCTCATACTAGGACGTAACGGCCGTCCAGTACTTCCAGGTTTTCCATGATGGTCTAGCTTCAATTGGCTCATGATTTCAACTAGTGAAATTTCTAAAATCTTCACAAAACCCTTTCAAATAAAAATACGTTTGGTTTTGATACTGTGCTGAATAATAGATTAATTAGTGAATTAAACATAATTTGAAATGGAATAATGAAAAAGGTGCTGATATTGAATATGCCAGAAATCACCATACTTTCAGGGCTATATAAAAATAACCGGAATAATCCATTGAATATAAACACAGAAAACAAAGAAAACAATCACCCAATCAAATGGTTTCTTAAATTTCATAATTCATCATTGTGTCATTCGGAAAACAGATAATATTTCTGTCACCTAGGATGCTTAGAACGACTGATATCTTAAAATTTCATCGTTAATGTTTCAATATTTATTTGTAAGATATTGTCAATATTTACAGTAAATAAAATTTATCGGAAAAGTTTTATTTCGTTTGTGTTGAATAAATTGTTGTTTGTCAACAAGTCTCAATATGCGTTTTGTATACATATGGAATGATTATAATGTGTAATTCGTTATTCATAGTTTTAGACCTCCTGAGAATATTTCGTCTAGAATTCTAGATATTAAAGTTGGTTTCATTTTCATATAAGTGTCTTGGTCAAAATTAATGGTTTCGGCATAGACTATATTGTGTTATTGCTACAGTTCTCCAGTTGTTATAGGATGGACTTAATGGTAAAGAAGTGATCGGAATTTTTATATTTCACGTTTTGTATTTTAGGACTTTTGTTTTAGTGATTTGAGTTGAATCAGCTTACGATCGTTTTGCATTAACTTAACATCGTAATTATTAATGGTCAACCATCATTTAATATAAAGTATTTAGTTATAAATTAAATCTGTTTTACGGACGTTTAGGCTAACACGACAAAGGAGATATGAACAAATATTTGGTAAAATGAATTAACGATCTATCTTGACAACAAACATAACTGACCTAATAAATAAAGTCGGAAAACAATAGATAGATTATGTCATATAAATGTTGCGTGATGTTTTAATGTATGCTACAAGTTATCATTTTTGATACCAAGTTCAATTCACTAACAAAATAATGTCTATTTATTCTAAATAAACGTTTCTTAAACAGATTCTCATTTATATACTCATTGTTTTCTTCATTGATTCTTTGGGTTTTAAACAATAAGAATGATCCAGACAAATTAACGCAGAATTATGGTTCATTGTTAGGGATATTTCTACATTTTATAAGACAGTCATTAAACGAAAATATCTTTCGATATAAGAATCATGAACTTTCTTATATATTTGACCGTGATATTATTCCATATTACAAGATGTGCTATTTACGTATAAAGTAGTGTCCATTAATCTCATAGTTTTAATGATTATTGTAGATAACAATGAGCGTATCGTATATAACACAAAATACCTATTTCTTAAAAATCTATGCAATATACTACTTAATAGGGAATTTCTTTAATATTAAAAATGAATTATAAGTAGACTTTTACCTGTTCAGTGAACGGTCTCTTCAAACATTAGACTTTTATAGTTATTGGTTCTGAAAAATGTACAGATAGTTCAGTTCTTTTGTTGTTTGTTATGGGTGATTATTTGTTATAACTTGTGGCCTGAGTGCCCTGTTAATGTTTAGCTTGATGATACCGCCAATTAAAAAGCAGTGAATTATCGATCGGATCAAGGACGCGTAAATCACGTGTATGCAGTATAGCTTCCTGATTGGTCCTGCTTTCCGCCTAGACCAGCCAGTTATGTCCAGAACATCAATCTCAGCCGCTGCAATATAAATCATTTATTTCAAGCATACGGGGTTTATATATCAATCAAGCAGACCACAATGTACCATGAAATAGAAAATAACATTTGTACAAAATTTGATCAAATGTGTCTGTGAATGTGGGAGGCAGTGACTAATAAATAGGGCATAATTCAAGAATAGTAAAACGTATGATAATAGTTGATAGGTCAAAATAAAGCTTATAATAAGAGGAATATGAATATGAATAGTTTAGTTATTTGACAATTATTTGATAAAACTATACGTTTAGTATTGGTCCATACATGGATCCCAAAAATTACCATTCATTATGCTTATCAGAACCTAACATTATTACTTAGAATAAAGTACAATAATAACCGACTGAACCAACTAATTTAAAGGTAATCTTTCTCATCTGAGAGACATTAACCATGTATTCTCAGAACTACTAGTGATGCTAACATCACAATTAGTAACAATAATAATAATAATAATAATAATAATAATAATAATAGAAAAACATGTGAACATAATAAAAAAACTTGACTAAGAAGGGTTATAAGTACATTAACCAAATTAGGTCATTCAATAGTTAAGGTTATTATTGATTGATTGAGCCTGAGGTTGGCAAAGATAAGAAAAGAATTTGAACATATTTCTTTTGTACACGTTGCTTCGAATGTTAAATCCGAATTGTTACTGCTTCTATCGTTTGAAATACTTCAAATTTAATAGGCTTTCGCAAAAAATTACTGACCCGAAAAATATTGGCTTATTCAGGCACATGACATACTTTTAATCATTTTATCCTACATTAAACTTCGCTTTTTGAATTATTAATTTAAACATATCACTATAGAATTTGATAAGAATTCATTAAAAAGAATGTTCTTTGTTCACATTATATAATGCGGTTGTTTTACACAATCGTCATAATCAATCGATTATACTGAAATAGCTTCTTAATCGTAAACAGAATTTGTATAAATTTTTAAATGTAATGAAACATTTATTGAAGAATAATTATGTTGGCCTAAAAGTGTAGGCAATAGTTTCTAACAGATTTCAATGTTTGTATTAGGGATATAGAATCACTAAATACAATATAGGTGGAATAAAATCAAAAGTGATTTAAGATGAATTTTTGTTATATAAATTTGTTCACTGTAAATAATGCTCATGGACTACTAGTTCAGTTTACATTATAGTTTGTGTTCATTGACAAGAACTATGTTTATAAACTAATGGAATTTGGATCGATATATAACTGATCTTTATAATGTATTCAAGATTTTACTGTATCTTGATGGGAAACGATTGTATTCAAAAACTGGACATATTACTCTAGCCAGAGTTGCATGGCAGAAGAGGATAGCAGTAGTCTTGCTCACCATATTGAAGTCGGAGTTGGAAAATGGAATCCTAATACTCGAACATTAGTTTGTAAAACGAAATGTTTATTTAGTGTTTAAGAAAGTGTGTTTTAAAACAAGTTAGACGTACGATTTTGAAATACCTTGGTACTTATTGCTATTCATCAATTGTGAATGAAAAACGTTTTCAGTTATTCATGAGAGATTACTCTTTCATTGGTACTGAACATTTTAAAATTTATCATAAGACTAGGGATTTCATTTGTATCGGTGAATTTTCGGTACCATACATTTTTAAATATAGATCTTGAAGACTCTGTCACCTAGTTTTACTACTGTCAATTTTACCCTGAGTATGAGTTGATTTAC